ACCAAACAACTTCTAACAATCAAAGATTTTACACTTTCTTTCTCCCAAAATCACCATCCCCTCGGTTTACTTCCTTCCCCGTGGAAACGACCTTGAAATACCACTAAGTAAAACACGATCCATGAAAGTCTCCTTGTGCTTGGGGAGCACTTTTGTTCACACATACTCACATTTGACATTTCATTCATCCACCATTCCGTTGCCCTTTCTTTTGACATCATCCCTAGGAGAGTGACACTTCCCTTTATTCATATACTATACATGCTAAAAGGTGATGTTTAGAGGTTAGAAAATAACAAGAAATTTTCTCAAGCATGGACGTGGTCGAGGTAGAGGAGAAAACTTTGGTCAAAATGCGTCCAAAAAAGAAGAAAGAGGTCAAGAATCACATCATGGAAGAGACAACAATTCAAAGTCATATGGAGGGAGGTATGACAAATCTCATATTCAATGTTATAATTGTCATTGATATGACCATTTTGCTTCCGAGTGTAGAAATAATTTTGTGGAAGAAAGACCACACTTTGTTGAAGACAAAGTTGAAGAGGTAGAGCTGACCTTGTTGTTGGCATACAAAGAAGTGAAAATGGGAGACAAGAATGTGTGGCACCTTGACTCCGGTGCTAGTGATCATATGTGTGAAAATAAAGAGATTATTGCAGAACTTGATGAATCGATGAGTGAAAAAGTCACTTTTGGAGATTCTTCTCAAATTCCTGTAATGAGAAGAGGTAATATTTTGATTCGTTTGAAGGATGAAAGGCACCAAGTTATTTCTAATATTTTTTTATGTTCCAAACATGAAAAATAATATTTTGAGTTTGGGACAACTCTTAGAGAAAGGTTATGATATTTGTATGAAAAATCATAATTTTTCAATAAGAGATGAAAACGGAAATTTGGTTGCTAAAGTGCGGATGACAAGAAATAGAATGTTTTTTGTTAAATATTCAAAGTGATGTGGCAAAATGCTTGAAAGCATGTGTTAAAGATTCTTCTTGGTTATGACACTTGAATTTTGGAGGACTAACCTCGTTGTCTAAAAAGAAGATGGTAAACGGATTGCCTTCTATCAACCACCTGGATCAACTTTGTGAGGGATGTTTAATTAGAAAACAAGCTAGAAAGAGCTTTTCCAAAGAATCCATTTCAAGAGCAACCAAACCACTTCAACTTGTTCACTCGGATGTTTGCGGCCCTATAGACCCACCATCATTTGGTAAGAACCGGTATTTTCTTATCTTTATTGATGATTTTAGCCAAAAAAAAATGTAGGTTTATTTTCTAAAATAAAAATCGGAGGCGTTTGGCATTTTCAAAAAGTTTAAGGCTTTGATTGAAAAGCAAAGTGGGTATGAAGTCAAGGCAATTAGATCCAATAAAGGAGGTGAATTCATATCAAATGAATTCAAAATTTTTTGTGAAGAAAATGGAATTCACCATCCTCTAACGGTTCCAAGATCACCACAACAAAATGGTGTTGCCGAAAGGAAGAACCGAACAATTCTTGACATGGCTCGGAATATGTTGCAGAGTAAAAAAATGCCCAAGGGTTTTGGGCAGAAGCTATTGATTGTGTCATCTACTTGTTAAATCGGTGTCCCACTGAAAGTGTTCAAGACAAAACACCACAAGAAGCATGGGGAGGAATCAAGCCAAATGTTTCTCATTTGCGGGTCTTTTGAAGTGTATGCTATGCACATGTGCCGGATAAGAAACGGACCAAACTAGATGATAAGAGTAAAAAGTTTGTCTTCATTGGCTATGATTCAAGAAGCAAAGGTTACAAGCTTTACAACCCAAGTAATGGCAAGATAATAATTAATAGAGATGTTGAGCTTGATGAAGAAGATAAATGGGATTGGAACACTCTACAAGAAAACTATGATTTTTTTCCATTCTTTGAAGAAGAGGGGGAGCCCAATAATGAGATCATGGAGCTGCCCATTTATTCTCCTCCACCATCACCCACCAATGTGCAAGCATCTCCATCATCATATTAAGCAAGCTCAAGTGAAAGACCACCTCACATGAGAAGTTTTCAAGATATCTATGAAGAAACTGAAGAGGTAATTCAAGGATTTTGTGATCTAACACTATTTTGTCTATTTGCCAATTATGGAGGAGTGCCATGAATGAAGAAATTGATGTTATTAAAAGAAATGAAACATGGGAGCTTGTCATACTCCCTAGAGGACAAAAAGTCATTGGAGTGAAGTGGGTGTATAAGATAGAGAAAAATGCCAAAAGTGAAGTGGAGACGTACAAAGCAAGGTTGGTTGCAAAAGGCTATAGTCAAAGACCGGGTATTAAGTATGATGAGGTATTTGCACCTGTTGCTCATTTGGAAACAATTAAATTGATTATTTCTTTAGCCACTCTAAATGATTGGAAAATTCATCAAATGGATGTAAAGTCTGCTTTTTTGAATGGCTTTCTTGATAAAGAAGTGTATGTTGAACAACCCTTGGGTTATGTTGTGAAATGGCGAGAGAAAGTCTTGAAATTAAAAAAAGGCTTTGTATGGTTTGAAGCAAGCACCAAGGCCTTGGAATAATAAACTTGACAAGTACTTTCAAGCAAATAATTTCACCAAGTGTCCTCATGAACATGCTCTTTATGCAAAGGTGAATAATAATTGTGATATACTCTATGCTTGTTTGTATGTGGATGACTTGATCTTCATAGAAAATTGTCCAAGAATGTTTGAAGATTTCAAGAGAGAAATGACTAAAGAATTTGAGATCACCGACATTGGGCTTATGTCATATTACCTTGGCATTGAAGTGAAGCAACTAAAGGGAGATATATTTATCTCTCAAGAAGGTTATGCTAAAGCAATTTTGGCAAAATTCAAGATGCAAGATTGTAAGCCAGTATGCACACTCGTTGAATGTGGTGTAAATTGTCAAAATATGAAGATGGAGAGCATGTGGATCCTACCCATTTCTAGAGCCTAGTGGGAAGCTTGACATACTTAACATGCACAAGGCCAAATATTTTTTTGGTGTTGATTTTGTAAGTCGCTATATGGAAGCTCCTACCATGATCCATTTGAAGGCGGCAAAAAGAATTCCTAGATACATCAAAGGTACACTTGATTATGGATTGCTATATTCTTGTTCTAACAATTTTCAGCTTGCGGTTTATTGTGATAGTGATTGGGCGGGAGATATGGATGATAGAAAAAGTATTACCGTATATGTTTTCTTCATGGGAGATACTGCATTTGTTTGGAGTTCAAATAAGCAACCCATTGTGACTCTTTTGACTTTTGAAGCCAAGTATGTGGCAGCTACATCATGTATTTGTCAAGCTATTTGGCTTAGAAATTTGTTAAAGGAGCTTCATTTGCCTCAAGAAGAATCGACGGAGATTTTCATTGACAACAAATCGACACTAGCGTTGGTAAAGAATCCGGTGTTTCATGATCGTAGTAATTAAGCATATTGACACAAGATTCCATTTCATTAGAGAGTATGTGACCAAGAAAGAGGTGGAGCTCAAGTTTGTGAAGTCTCAAGATCAAATTGCTGATATTTTCACTAAGCCCTTCAAAGGGGATGTTTTTTTGCAGATTGAGAAGTTTGCTTGGAGTTGAGAAGAAAAATCATGTTTAAGGGGGGTGTTGAAAAAATAATATTAAACATGACTTTTCATATTTTAGGAGTTATTTTTATGCATTTATTTTTGTGTATTAGTGGGTCATCAATTTGGTATTAGTGGGGGACAAAGTAATTGTGGTATTTTAATTCTCCAAGTAATGGAGGAGTGGGGTCTTTATTATTTTTATTATTGCATTATGTAGTGAGGTTATTTTGTATGTCATGAGAGTCTATATATATCATATGTAATACATTCATTTGAATATGAGTGAATAGAAAGAGTTCCTCCAATTTTCATTAGTCTTGTCCATTATATTTTTTTTTTGTGAGTGTGTGATAGTCCTCTAAATTCCAATAGCGATCCTCTAGAGATTGATTAAGAAACCTGGCTTCTTAATGGGTTGCGTTGGCTCAAGGGGTAAAGTTGTAGAGACAAGCACAAATTAGATCACGGCCCACCCAAAAGTCGGGCCGTTGAATTTTGAACCTTACACCTCTTCATTTCTACTTTTAGTTCCACTGTCTATCTAGTTTTTGCTTAGGCTATCCTTTTGATTTCATGTTGATGTAGTATTTCTATTTTTTTCCTATATTTAGATGGCCTCGACTTAGCACTTCTTTAGTTAAAATTAACATACTAGGTTTTGAACATTTGTCGCACCCCTCGAGAGGCTGGAAAGCAACCTTGTGAGAAAGGAGGACAGTGCTCAAGTAAAGTTCGTGGGCCAAGTAAAGCCAATAATCAAGAAAGTTGGACAAGTTGTGAGACATTTTCTATGCAAAGCTGGTAAGCTTAAACATATTGGGGCCAACGTCTGTCACAAAAAAAAATTACTTGTTCCAAAGAAGGGGATGAGGATTAAAAAACGTAGAAGTATGGAAGGTGTTGGACGTTTCAAAATTTGTCACCAGTCGTTTTTTTATGAATAGTTACATCTAAATAATTATATCAGTTTTTATTTGTATGAATGGTTCATAAGTTTACATGTGGACGTCAGCGGTTGGCCCAATGGCAGCAACACTGCTATTAGATATTAAAGTCGCAGGTTTAAATTTTGTCATTTCTCTCCCTTATAATAATGTCTCACAAAAACAAAAAGTTTACATGTGTTTAATCGAATTCTAGCATGCATATGATCAGGAGATGTGTCAAAACATGTACATAATGGATCTACATTTCAAATAATAAAGACAAGATGCAGCATCCCCATTTTCCAAGCTTTTGATAAAACACAAATAGACATTAATGGATATAGAATTGGAGTTTCAAGACATCAATACATTACATCGAAAATCCAAACCATAACAAACGAATTTACTGGTTTAAGACACGAAAAATAGATTTTTTACCTATGTGCGTAGTGAGAGAGAGGCTCTCGCACCGGGCTATTTTTCTTAGATCCAGTTTGGAACCCAGACAATGTGATCCTCAGGAAGGAAATGGAAAATCGAAATAGTTCTTGGTTTAACCTTGAGCACTTGAAAGGCCAAATGCTTTGGGTTCCAAGCCGAGGTATCTGTATGGCACACTGCTACTGCTTTAGCTTTGATCCCATTAGCCTCCTTCAAGAAAGTCAAATACGCTTTGATGGTGTCCGTTTTTTGACAACAAAGTACTGCATACACATAACTCTGCTTGTGACAAGCAACTACTATTTGACTTGCCATCTTCTTCACCCTTGCAAATAGTGTTGTCGATTAGCCAAAATTTGCTTAACTTATATCCAACTTGTTTATAATTATTTGGGCGGATTACACTATAGCCCCCACAACTATGACCTTTTGATTTTCACATTACTTGCCCCATCAACTATCTTATTTCTCACAATACACCTTCAATTATACTATTAATTGCACACATTTCTCAATAATTAACGTTTGTTACAAATATGACGAAAAATTATCTTGCCACCCCCCAGCCCGAAACTTTTTTTTTCATATCGCCTCTGACATGCTGTCAATTTTTGTCCAAAGGAAGTTTGGGTTAGGGCAACATGAAATCAATTCAAATAGTCAAGGGATTGAAGGATTGAAATTGAGTTCATAGTTAAAGGGAGTTAAAGTATGATTTGTCCAAATTATTTGAAGTTCGGTTATAATGTGTTATGTTCTTGTCGTTTACTTGTTAATAAGCCATGTTTAGTCGGGTTCATATGTAACACTGACAACCCTACATGTAATGCTATACTTCTACAGTTGAGTATCTTTTTCCATCTCTGTGGACATAGCTTGAACTCTTTTCCCTAGCTTGGAAGTACTGAAATCTACCATTGCCTCTAAAGAAGTGGCAGAATATTGTTCCTCCCCTTTGATGCCACGCTCCTCACACTCCTTTATGGTTTTCGTCATTGCTTCAGCTTCCACTGAATTAGGTGAGACTGAGAATCTGTTCAAAATTTCAGGCATTTTTTTTCAATGCAAAAGGGATCGATTCGGCAACCAGACGAGGCAAGAAGGCAGATTTTCTTCTCGTTTTGATGAACTGCAAGTTCATCTTTGTGCCTTTGTGAATGTTCTTCTCCAAAAAGAAAAGAGCAACATTTTGGTTATCATGGAGTTGGTCCTTTTGAATAACATATCCATAACCAAAAGCCCCCTTCATACCCGTCTCTAAGTCTACAACATCCTTCCCCACCACAACCGAAGTGCTTTTGTCTTTCAACCCTTCTGCAAAGTGCAAACCATCAGTAACCACTAATCAGTAATTTTTTAGGGTTATCAATATGTTGTACCAACACAGTGTTATGTTTTTAAACCGTGCAAGTCCTGTTGTTACATCTTTAGTGTATCTCATACATGATATATTTACAGAAATGTTTAGTTAATTTTGAGTCATGTACACTAGGTTGGAGTCTGAATAAAGACTAAAACTTATACCCATTAATTTCACTTCGAATCGTGTTAAGAACTTCAGACACTTCCACTTTACATCTGTATCATGCACTTGATGGAAGAAGATTTTTCATGCTTTATTAACTTGCTAATTTTCAATTTTGAAAACATACAAATCTGGTTTTCTTGTTCTTGTTATTGTAAACATTGTCATATACGTGTAGTCTTGTTATTATAGAGGTGTCAAAAATGATGGAACTTTTGCCAACATCACCCCCTCCCTCCTAAAGCAAAGGAAGTTTAGCCAAAGGCAGTACTACAAACTACAAAGGTACAACAAATAGATTTTTTAACTTTTTAGCTTGTTTTCTTAGGAAACCAAAACAGACTTAAACTTCGTAAAAGAATTGTGAGTTAGAACATGGAGTTTTTTTCTAGATTGAAGACCAACTAGTGTGTAGAATATCCTTGACTGCTTTGGGCATGGGAGTGTTTGCAGCACAAACTTCCAACAATCCTCGGGATCAGGAGGTAGAGCTGCATGGCTAGCCACCAATGCCAACTGAGAAAAAAAAAAAAGAAAAGCAAAAGAAACTAAGATATACAACATCTCATTAGGCTGTGGTGTGGTGTGTTGTGTTCTTCTCGTGTACTTGTGTATAAGCCATGTTTAGTCAAGTCATGTTTAGTGTAACACTGACAACCCTACCTATAAGACTATACTTCTGCAGCTGAGTTTCTCTTTCCACCTCCGTGGACATTGCTTGAACTCTTTTCCCCAGCTTGGAAGTACTGAAATCTACCATTGCCTCTAAAGAAGTGGCACAATATTGTTCCTCCCCTTTGATGCTAGGCTTCTCACACTGTTGTATGGTTTTTTCTTCATTGCTTCAGCTTCCACTGAATTAGGTGAGACTGAGAATTTGTTCTGAATTTTAGGCATTATTTCGGATGCAAAAGGGATCGATTTTGCGACCAGATGAGGCAAGAAGGCATATTTTCTTCTTGTTTTGATGAAGTGCAAGTTCATCTTTGTGCCTTTGTGGATGTTCTCCTCCAAAAAGAAAAGAGCAACATTTGGGTTATCATGGAGTTGGTCCTTATGACTAACATATCCATACCCAAAAGTCGCCTTCATACCCGTCTCTCAGTCTACAACATCCTTCCCCACCACAACCGAAGTGCTTTTGTCTTCCAACCCTTCTGCAAAATGCAAACCATCAATACTCAGTAATTTTATAGGGTTATCAATATGTTGTACTGAGACTGTTGTGTTGTTAAACCATGCAAGTAATGTTGTTACATTTTTAGTGTATCTTATGCACGATATATTTACAGAAAGTTTTAGTTAATTTTGCGTCATATACAGTAGGTTGGAGTTTGAATAAAGAATAAAACTTATACCCATTAATTTCACTTTAAATCATGTTAAGAACTTCAACATTGGTACTAAGAAGTAATTGTCCTTGAGCACATACACACACCCACACCCACACAAACACACCAACAAAAGCAAAGGAAGCTCAGCCAGAGGGCAGTACTCCAAAGGTAAGTTTCACAAAAATTAGATTTTTAACCTTTTTAGCTTGTTTTCTTAGGAAGCCAAATGAGACTAAACTTCATAAAAGAAGTTTATGGGTTGTTGCCATATTTATAGGCTAGTGTTAAAGGTTTGTTTGGATGGCTAGATATGTTCGGGTTTGGACTATCCCAACTAATGAAGTGCAGATAATTCCTTTAGCATGATGTATTCATACCGAAAGCTACCATTCAAATCTAATAATTAATAACTTATTTTTCAATTTCTAGATAGTCAAGAATATGAGTGCAAGAAAGACGTATATTTGTGGACATTAGGTATGTTAAAATGAGATAAAATTTATTAAAAAAGTATCTTAATCATATCTGCATATTTCTAAGGGTTTACAATAGCATTATATTGATATCATTTTGTATCCGTATCTTGTATGCTCCATAGATATTATCCAACCCACACCCATCCGACCTCCAATTACAGTGTTGTCCCTTTCATCTCTTGTTTGGACATAGGAATAGATAAGTAGCGGACCCAATCTGAACCCATCCAATCTCTTCCCGGGATGGAATATTTCTTCATGGTACATAAATCCACATTTCAGTAATTAAACCATCCTTATTTGTATTCCAACTGCCCAAAAGTTTATTTCCCTAGCACAGGCTTTGGGAAACCAATGCAAAACTTAGGGCTTTTTGCACTTTATATTGTGAAAGATTTTAAGATTTTTATTTTGTACTCATGAAATTTTTTACATTGCACCCTTAAGGTATCAAAAGTATTACAATATTATTCTTTTGATAGCTTTTCCGTTAGTGTCAATAAATTGATTTTTGACAGAAATATTGACAAAAAAAATAATTAAAACTAACAGAAGATGCGTATGGCATACATTGATAGTGTTGATTTAGGATTGATGTCTGCTATCAGTGGGCAACAATTCAAGTAGTTTGGTCATGGCAACAAAATGGATTGATGTTGAAGCCTAAGATTTCCCCCCAACAACTTTCAATCCCATTTAAGTATATGGTCGATCTGGATTCGTGGCTCGACCAGTGGAATTCCAGTTTCAATAAACGGCATATCTTTTTGCATTTGAAGAGACCTATCGTGACCCGAAAGTCCTCGTAAACTCGCGATTTAGCAAATAAAAAGGGTCATGAAGAATGTTTTCTATAAATCGAGATAAGAGATAAGCGGGATGAGTTAAGCTAAACATAAAATCGATTCACTTAACAAAGAATCCCTACTTGATACGAAACAAAACAGGAATTTCACTCATACTAAAATACTTCAATCGACGAACTCCTTGTTGATGCGAGCCAAGTGAGTGTGATTTGAGACAAGATGTTTTTTTTTTTGTTGTTATTTGAGACAAGAATCTTTGAGATACAGCATGAAAATATATATTGAACGTTGGATAATGGATCCTTTAGGGAGTTTGGTGTGATTGCCATATGCTCCTAAAATATTGTGCTCATGTGGATTGCTTATTGGAGCTCCCAGGTGATCTTGCAGATCTACGTGTTATTAAATTTAAATCTATGGCTGTTTTTTTTTTTATTCAATAGTCTATAGTTCACGCTTATTTCAAATAATAATTCGATTAAAGATATATTATTCATGTCAGAATTAGGATATTCATGAGGGATTAACCCATAATGACTTAATTCTAAAAAATTATCAATATTCAAACTCAAAATATCTAAATTTATAATAAATTTTTATTATCACTTGAACTACTCTTAAATTTGTCGACTGTATTTTCAACTTCAAAAATATTGTGCTGAAGTGGGTTGTTTGTTGGAGCTCCCAGATGAACTTGCATGCCTATGCACTATTAAATTCAAATTTATGTGTGTTTTTCTTTTCAATTGGAGCCACTTTTTACCAAACCTTCAAACTAAAGTTTGGCCAATGTGGCATGGAAGAGGGAGCGGGGGAGCTTTTCCCCAAACGCAACCTCCCCAAAAACTTTGTTCTCAAACTTAGTTAGTTTTAAACTTATTTCTCAAATTCAACCTTTTTTTAAAAAATGTCATTCTGAATGATGCCTTCATAAGAGAAAATATCATTTCAAATAATTATTTTAAACTAAATTTTTTTTATAGAAAACGTCATTCAAAATTATTCTGAATGATGCCAAATCATAAACACAAAAACCCTAGACCCGATTTACCCATCCTCTCCACTCCACACCTCTGACGAAGATCACTCTGGTGCAAGCTTTTATCGCCAATGAAGACCACTCCTGCATTAGAGCCTACCTCCAATGAAGACACTCTGCTGATGAAGAACCACTCCTCCTACGAAAGATCTGAGGTTTGAGAAGGAGTTCGCAAAGCTGTGGAGTCTATCTCTATTTCTGTTCCTATCCTCCGACGATTGCTAAACACTACTCCTGCGACCCACCAAAGGTAGTGTGGTCTCTGTCTCTCTTTCTTTAGAAATTTATGGGCTAGAGGTTCATACTTCGATTCATTTTCCAGTTATTGATTCAAATGTGTGATGTTTGTTTGCTCATTTTATTCAACCTTGGGTATTTTTCAATAGATTAATGTGAATATGCTTCACTGTTTTGGTTCACCATTCGTTTATTTAGTTTCCTTATATGATAAAGATTGTAATCAATATCACAATGAAATTTCCTTAGTTCATAGCTTAACTTGGTAAGTTTTTCCATTTAATTTTGCTTTTTTTACACTAGTAACTAATGGATCACGATCTAACGGTTCATGTAAAAAGTATTCACAAGAGGCTCTAGTGTGAAACTTTCATCATCGTGCTACTATATATATATATATATATAGAGAGAGAGAGAGAGAGAGAGCATTGATCAGTTGTTTTTTGAATTTGAATTTCAAATTTATGTAAAAACTTTATTGGCATGTCTTCATTGATAGTAAATTAAGGAATAACAATTCTCAAATTAGGAAACTAATTTAAAGTTTATTTTAAGGAATGATATTTTGGATTTTTAAAAAAATAATGGACTTAACTGGATTAAAAATGAACTTATCTCCAAATAAGCTTTCTTGACATACTAAACTCATTATAAGTCCATTAAGAAGGACTCAACCCCGATTTTAACAATAAAAGGAATCAAAATTTTGTAAATTTTGTCAAGTTCTCTCCTTCCTAATTTTTTGGTTAAATAATATATATATATATATACCCATATATCTAACTCACCTACTTCTCTCTCTCTCTCTCTCTCTCTCTCTCTCTCTCTCTCTCTCTCTCTTTCTCAGACAGACACACCCACACCTAACCCATGTTCTAGTTTTACATGGCCAAGAAAAAGATTTAGGAAAATTTGGTAGTCGGTACAAGAATTTAGACTTAATTGAGTTAAACCACATTAAAAATACTTATTTGGCTCTAAGTACATTTAAAAAATACAGATTAAAAAAACTAAAAGGTCATTCATGACTCCATTCTCTCTCCATTACTCTCTCATTGTTTCTTCTCTATTTTCTCTTTATCTCTATATGTTTCTCTCTCTCCCCCATTAATAATTTTTTTTTTTTGGGAGAGGGGAGGGGAGGGGAGGGGGAGGGGGACTTGAACCCTTGACCTCAAGAAGGCAAAGCCTTCACAAGACAAGGAGTACCACTGGACCAAAGGCCCATTGATAAATATTTGATTTTATTTTCAAATATATAAAGATTTGATTTGATTTTTTCATCTCTCTATCTCTCTTTATTCCATTATTTTTTTCTCTCTACCACTATTTTCTCTTACTCTTTCTCCCTTTATTCTCTCTCTCTTTCTCTCCTTATATCAACGTTATAACAACATAATTACATTAATCAGCTACAACTGTCCTATAATACACCAAATGGTTACTCATGTGTTATGATAAAACAAATAGTTACACCAAACAATTACGACACTAACCCAATTTTTTATTTAGTTATTTACATAAAACAAAGAGTTATACCATTAGTATCACGATATTATTACACCAGTTATAAAATTTGGTGTATATAATTGGTGTAATAATGTTATGATACTAAATGGTATAACCTTTTAATTTATGTAAACAACTAAATGACAAATTGCGTTAGTGTCATAATTTTGTGTAATTATTTAGTGTAATTGTTTAGTTTATTAGAACACATGAGTAACTGTTTGATGTATTATAAGACAACTGTAACTGATTGGTGTAACTAATTAGTGTAATTATGTTGTTGTAACGTTGATATAAAGAAGGAAAATAAGGAAAAAGAGAGTAATAGTGAGATAAAATAGGGAAGAAAGAGAGATGAAACAATCAAATCAAATCAAATCTTTACATATTTGAAAAAAAAAAAAATTTCTTTTTGGGAATTCCAGCTATCCCAACCCTTCGGGCCGGACTAATGTTGAACCCACACGCAAAGCTGGCTCTCCATGCATAGGGGGTAAATCTAGGACCAGTAGCTCCAAGGAGTGTTTGCACCTAAAAAAAAAGAAAATAAATTATCAGTGGGAGAGAGAAAAAAATAGGGGAGAGATAGAGAAAGAAAGGGGAGAGAGAGAAAAATAAGGGAGAGAGAGTAATGGAGCGAGAGGGAAAGAGAGAGAGAGAGTAATGGTGTGAGAAATAGGAGGAGAGAGAG